TCTAATAAAACTCAGTGATATAATTTTTCTATCTTATACACTTAAATATACATGCAGTTATATCATTTAGAGCACTTTCTTTTCCTCTCTTTTGTACAATGACAATTACACATTTTGGGTTTTGTTGCTCCCACAGTTCTTATTACTTTTTTGGAAGAGAGTAGAACCAAATGTGACATAACAGAACAGAGTCAATCAAATCAAAAGGGTGGACATAATAGATAACGTAAAAGCATAATACAAGGTGATCAATAATGGTTACTATAATGCCTCCCGCTATCTCTAATAGAATTGCCTATATCATCAGTTATAATAAAACTGAACAAAACAGTAAAGAACAAAACTGACAAAACCAAAACATTGGAGACATTATAGGTCTTCAAAAGTAGATAAAAGTCAACGACAATGGGTGTCATAATGAATCTCATTATCTTCACAGCCTAAACTTTCGAACCTGGTACTATCAAGCAAAACAGAACAGGGGGACATCAGTCAAAAACAAGATGGTGAGAGTAATACAGGGCTCCAAATCAAGACAATGGAAAGTCAAAGTGGGTTACTATAATATATCCTGCTATTTTCTATTTATTTTTCCCTTAATTAAAATGATAAAAATAAAAAAATAATGAAGTGGAGATTGAGATAAAAGAGGGCATAACAGCAAAACAGCACAGATCAAAACATGACCATTTAAGCAGAAGAGTGTTTCACCACAAGATAATCCTGACATAAAAGTAGTTACCATATTGTCTCTTTCCTTGAAATCTTTGAGTATAACTTCGTATGCTGTAGCATCAAATATATCAAAACAATGTAAAACCATTTAAGAGAATGACAGTATTACAGGGTATTTAGAATCAACTAACAGAAAATGAACAATGGTTTCTGTATAATCTCCTTGTCTTTAAAAGTTTTTGCTTATACTATCATACATAATAAAATCCAATTACAACCTGTTTAGACCAATGGAGACAGAAGAACAAAAGCTTGATGAGACTTCAAAACAAGATGATACTAAATCAGTGTTACCTACTAAGACGTCATTTTCTCCAAAATAGCTGCTCCTATCATCCAATCTTCTCTGTCTCATTTCTATTGAGCTCTTTTTCTGTCATTAGTTGTCAGTTTGTCTTCTTCATTTTGTTTTCTGCTCCATTCATTGTGGCCTCTCTGCCACTATTTCTGGATTCTTTGTATTCTTCTTTTTTAGAATATCCTGCAGTATTCTCTGTAGAGTTGAATTGGTGGTTGCAAATTCCCCTAGTTCCTCTTTATCCTGGAAGCACCTTGTTTTTCCATCAATTTCCAGGGATAGTTGTGCAGGATATATCAATCTTGGCTGGAGATTATTATCTTTCAAAGCTTGAATTACTTCCCCCCACGCTCTTCGTGATTTGATGGTTTGTGCCGAGAAGTCTGCTGTAATTCTAATGGGTGTTCCCTTGTAAGTGATCTGTTTCTTGTCTCTTACAGCTTTTAATATTCTGTTCTTGTATTGAATTTCTGGAATTTTGATTATTATATGCCTGGGTGTTGCTCTGTTTGGGTTGTAGGTGGCTGGGGTCCTGTGTGCCTCATACATCTGAGTATCTTTACCTTTTGCTAAATTAGGAAAATTCTCCTGGATTATTTCTGTGAGTAGCTTTTGTAGATCATTTGTTTGTGTCCCTACTTCTTCTTTTATGTTCTTAATTCTTAAGTTATGAATCCTCTTATCATCTTCTAGTCTTTGTATTATTGCTGTTTGTTTCTTTGTTACTTTTAAGAAGTTTTTCATTTCATTCTCCCATATTACAAATCTGCCCTCCAATTCAGATAGTCTGTCCTTACTTTCTTTCAAGCTGTTATGCCAGTTTTCGATAGAGTTTTTAGTTTCCTGGTAGTCTCTTTGAACCTGTTTCACGTATTCTATGCTTTCTCTATTTTCTCCATCAAACAATTCTCCCCTCTTTTTTTGTTCTTCCATTCCACCGTTTTTTTTTCTTGGGTGGTGCTTAGCATTTCTCTAACTATTCTGCTTATTTCTAGCTTCAGGTCATTAATAACTTCATTCCTGAACGGATCTATGATGCTCTCGAGATGGCGCTTTATGTCTATTGGTGCGGTGTCCGCTATTGCCTGTTTCTCAGGATTGGGGGCCGAGGAGCCTTTCTTGTTGCTGCCTCTTCCCATATTCTTTGTTCCTTATATATGCAAGCATATATAGGAGGCCCAGCTTCCTTTCCTGTCAGCCACAGCCTGATCGAATTGCGCCGGCTAGGTGTTCCCGCCCACCGCAGCACACCAGGAAATTGTAGACCAGGCGGGGCCCGCCCCTCCAGGCCACCCTCAGGCTCTGGGATCTGGGTTGTGCTAGCCCACTGGGTGTCCACCAGCAGCGTCACGTAGGCCAGGCAGTTCTCACCAATCCCGCTTGAGAGAGGAATAGGTGGCTGAAGTCGCTGCAGTGGCCCGCTCCCGCAAGTCTGCCCAGTCCCAGAATGTCTTCCACTGGGGTCTCATTAAACTGTGGGAGAGTGTCAGTTTCTCTCACTCACCTCACCGCAAGTCAATGCACAGCTCCCCCCGTCCTGTTTTCAACTCTGTTCGCAGATTCCCGTTCTGAGGTCTCTCCCTGCCGAGCCGATGTAGACGCAGCTGCCGCGCGGCGGGAAACCCAAATTGCGACTTCCAATGGCGCGGGCTCCAGCCTCCACACTGAGGCTTTTCTGTTCCTGTTCTAGCACCAGGACTGAATTCCAAGTTGGTTTCTTTCAGCCCAGTTCGTTCCTGGTCAGCAGAGCATATCTCCACCTGCTTATGACTCCTTATTTTGCACCATTCCTGAATTCTAAGCCGAGTCTTTCAGAGAGCTTCCGTAGCTGCTGCTGTCTGCCATGTTCTCCTGGAAGTCCCTCACCCAAAGAGTCTTACCTTGTCTTGGCTCCATTTGTTACCAACTGGCTGGCTCACCAAATGTGTTACCAGATGTCCTTTCCAGACTTTTACTGACCCATTCAAGGAATTGGATGGGAACATTTGGTGAATGTGAAAATTTAAGATTTACTTATTTATTTTAGGGGGAGAGAAGAAATAAAAAGAAGAAAGAAGAGCACAAAAGAAATGCTCAAGGAAAAAAGGTGCTCTGAAGAAAAGAAGATACATCTTGCATGCAGGCTGGGCCACTGACGGAACAAAAGGGTAGTGGTGGTGAAGACAATGACTGCCTTTTATAGCTCCTTTCCAACAAAATTGGCCTGAGCCCATGCCAGATTGGCATTAGGTGCAGGGCTCAGTCTCTCTCCCGGCAGAAGATTTATACCAGGTGTCAGGCTCCGGTGCTGCTGCTCTCAGCTCATGTCTCCTGCTTAGCGAGTCTCTGCAACTGACAGGTCATGCCCAGTTGCCTAGCCACATTTCAACGCCACTACTCTCTTTCCTCAGTTGTCACTGTGGGAAGTGATCCCAGCATTTTGATAGTGGGACCACCTTACTAACCTTGGAGTATCTATTTCTTGACTTATTTTCTGTAAGATGGAGCACATTCCTTCATTTTAGTCACAGGTCTCTTTTGTTAGGCTATTCGTAGGTGAATGTAATTTCCAAGTGGTACACAAAGCAACGCTCTCGAGGAACTCAGGGTAGACAAGAGAGTAATATAAAAAATAAAAATACAGCGAGGCGTCACTAGTGTGATAGTCCTTCTTTACCTGCATAACCTGATAAAACCTTTAGTCCTGGAGGTGTGGATGGTCTTTAATAGAAAGCCCATCCGACTAGTAGGGAGAGATTTAGGAGGTAGCACTCACTAGGCCATAGCTTTCTCCTTATTAATATTCAGGGCAAACAACTGAAGGGCCCATTGACAGATTATTAACAGATGGATGGTCCCATAGGGCATCTTTCCGGGTTCTTGCTTTTCTGCACATAGAATTGGACGAGACACACAGAAAAGGCAGAAAAGGTGTACATTTACTGAAAGTGGAAAAGAAATACGTTCTACAGGGCAAAAATGGGCTGGTAGATTTACAGCAGCCCCAGAGATAATTGTTTTGTATCCAAAATTCCTGGATTGGCTTCTTCTTCACACAAATAAGGTATTGGGACAGTCGTCTTAACCAAAACTCACTTGGCTTGGTGCCAAAATTAAACTGCCCCAGAAAGATTTGCTTGGATTCCTGCCAGATGTAAATGAAGGGTTGAAAATAGCCCTGTTCTGATTGATTCTGCACATGCACCAGCTTCAAGTGAAGAATTGGAAATAGCACTTTCTGATTGGTTCCATGTACAGCACTCAGGAGCTGTGGAGTCTTTTTAGATTCTGTGTTCTGTGCATATCCTCTGGGGTTTAAATTTTTAAAAAAATTTTTTATTTTAAAGATAATAAAACCAAGCAAAACAACAGAATAAAGCCACTCAAACAGATGATTGTCAGATTCCACTTAAAATGTGGAATGTCCTGGAATGTAGACGGGTTGTCAATCTTGTTTTTGCAGTAGAGAGGACTCAGAGAGGTTGGAAACAGAAAAAATATCCTGCAAGACATAGAATGAGCAGGTAGCAATGTCTATTCATGCCCGAGTGAGTTACTTACGAATTCCAAGTCCACTGCCAGTGGCCACGAGCAAGAACTCTCCAACGTTTCCCTGGAGGTTGGCTTACTGATTGCTCTCTGAGGAAAGAGCTCTTAGTGATCAGAAAATGAAGTCCAAATTTTACTTTAGAGCAAATTCTAGAAATGTGAGCTTTATTCAGGTTTATGTTCCTAACATCCCAATCCTCAGTGTTCAAAAACATCACATGATAACTCAATTTCTAAATCCACATTGCAATATATGCCATGACTTTTCTCCAAGACAACCATTGCAAACTGTTCTTATCTGGAGAACACAGAAGTCACACCTAGCCAATTGTAATCATTCTTGTGAATAATTCACCATGGATGAGTACGGTTTTATTTATGGCGTGAGTACAAGGTCCATTTGTGCCTGTATTCCCTACTTCTTCCTGCTATACTCTATACCAACTGAGAGTCAGAGCAGCTGAGTGGCTCAGGCCTGCAGTCCTCATGGCTCCTGTACATTTACCTGCCCGCCTCTCTCTGTGCCTGTGTCTGCTGCTGGCATCCAGCTTTGGCCAGGCAGGCAGGCTGCTGGTGATGCCCATGGATGGGAGCCACTGGTTCACCATGCGCTCTGTGGTGGAGAAACTCATCCAGAGAGGACACGAGGTAGTTGCAGTTGTACCTGACGTGAGTTGGCAACTGGGACAGTCACTGACCTTCACAGTAAAGAATTATGCAACATCTTATACTTTGGAGGAGAAGAACTTGGTATTTAAGGTTTTTGCCGATGCTCTATGGGAGACTAAGGAAGAAAATTTATTTGATACAGTGGCTACTACCAAGAAAGATTTTGAACTGCTGTTTTCACACTGTAGAAGTTTGTTTAACAACCAGACCTTGGTAGACTACATAAAGGAAAGTCATTTTGATGCGGTATTTCTAGACCCTTTCGACATGTGTGGCTTAATTGTTGCCAAGTACTTTTCACTCCCCTCTGTGATCTTCACCAGGGGACTCTACTGCCAAAATATTGAAGAAGGCACACAGTGCCCCGCTCCTCTGTCCTATGTTCCCAGATTTCTCTCACAGTTCTCGGATACTATGAATTTCAAAGAGAGACTGCAGAACCATGTTGCCCGCTTTGTGGAACATTTAGTTTGTCCTCATTTTCTCAGACAACCCTTAGAAATTGCCTCTGAGATTCTCCAAACACCCATCACAGCATCTGAGCTCTTCAGCCATACATCAATTTGGTTGTTACGCACAGACTTTGTCTTTGACTTTCCCAGACCTGTGATGCCCAACATGGTCTTCATTGGTGGGATCAACTGCCATGAGGCAAAGCCCTTGTCCAAGGTATGTTCTCTCTGCTTTGGCACATGAAGGTAACCTGGGTTGGGCATTAAATGAAAGGTAGCCTGCTGAATCATGGTTTGTTATTTATTTATTATGATCCTGGGAATTGAGCCCAGGGTCTTTGCCCTGAGCTATCTCCCCTTTGTTTACTGCTTATTTTCAGATAGGGTCTTGCTAATTGACTAGGTTGAGCTCAAATTTATGACACTGTTGCTTCAGCTCCCCAGAGCTGGACTGCAGGTGTGCACGTCCAAGCCTGGCTTCTGTCATTTCCATTCAATGTGCTTGGGTGTTCCTCCTGGTGTAATGGACTGCTTTGAGCCCGTTCATTTAATTGTTGTTCAGCAAAGTTTGTAAAACTGTGCTGTTGTCATGCATGTGTGTAAAATGACAAAATGGTTTGTAACTTACAGGCTGGATTTTTGTCATTGTTTTTGGAAAAATGGTGAAAAGTGGAGTAAGAAATGAAATGTTCCTTTCTCTAAAGGCATAGTTCACAGATTTATTTATTTAAAAGATTGAACCCATTGTCCTACTGTATGCTAGGTAAGTGTTCTACCATTAAGCCACACCCCTAACCTGAAGCATTCATTTATATTACTCTTATGCTGCTCTTTGTAGGAAGCGCTCTTAGTTTTTTATGCATCTTTTCTAATTTGTTATTATTTATAGATGTGCACATAGCTTGTGCAAATTCTCACATGTATTTTATTAGAATAAAATATAGTCATAGGCTGGATATATTCTTTCTCTTGCATTTTTTACACAGTAATAAATCATTTTAGACCTCAACACAGATTCATCATTCTTTTAACATTTGTAGTCTTAATTTAAATATATCATAGTTTTTTTTTTAACCAACCAGTATTGTTACTTAGGGTTCTATGATCTTTTGCTATCATGAGCAAGACCATACTAACAGTACTTAAATTTGTTCTTTATACACCAATATTTCCAAATTTGGGTTTTTAACTTGTAGGGCAATGTCCTGAAATCCAAGTTATGGAATCAAATGGTGCACTCACACTTTCTGTTTTGAGAAACTACTTTCAAAAATCACACAAGTCCACACCCAGGTAACAGTATATCAAAGATACAGTTTTCCTATATTCTCTCCAATACTAGATGTCAAAGTTTACAATTTTTGTTAATTGAGCAAAATAATTCCATGTGACTCTTTCAGTCTTCACATTCTCTCTGTCTCTGTCTCTCTCTCTATATATATATATATGTATATACAATTTACATTTCTTTTGTAAATTCCATATTTATGTTTGTTAATCGTTTAAATACAGATATTTGTCATATAATTACCCATCATAAGCCTTTTGAATTTTGGGAATATAAAAACTAAGGTCCTAAATTATGTGCCACACACATTTTTCCCCCAGGTATGTGCTTAATCATTTGTCATATCAGATTTTCAGTTTGGGAAAATCAAATTATTAACTTTTTCTTTAATAGTTTAAGGATTCTAACTTGTTTAGTTCTTCCAAGGCTAAAGTACATAAGCATTTTCTCCATTAAATTTCAATGTTTTTAATTCCCACAAATCTGATAGGATTGTTTGATTTTTAAGAATAAGAACTTTAATTGGAACAGTGCGATAATATAATTTGATTTTTTCTAATAAACTGCCCATTGTCCCAAATATTTATTTATGTGTGCAATTCTGGAGATTGAACCCAGGACCTTTTTAAAAATATGGTTTATTCTGAGGCAGATTCTAAATACATAACACTATTTCCCAGGCTGGACTTAGACCTGCAAACTTTCTACTTCAGTTTCCCAAGTAGTTGGAATCAGACAATGCCATTGTGGTGCCTGACACATCAGAAAATGCCATTCTTTACCTATGAAATTAAATGCTTATTTATCAGATTCCAGTTTTCTATATTTTTGTAACTGCTTCTAAAATCTCATGTTTGTCCCATGACTTACCTATTTGTGCTGCAGAACCATATTTTGATAAAGTATCTTTGTAGTAAGTTTAATATCTAGGAGGCGAGTCCCATATTCACTATTTATTTTTTCTAAATTTTCTTGGTTATTCCTCTAGTATGATCTCCTTTACAAAATCTGAAGTTGTTTTGATTGATTCCAATAAATAAAAGCAAACCATTAGGGAGTCTTATAATAGTATACTACATATTCTTATTAACAAAAAGAGATTGACTTTTTTTACTTTTATGTCTTTCTATGCTGGAATTGGGTTCCTTTGTACTAATTCATAAATTATATTGTGCCCATCAATATAATTTTGTACTTCATATAAATATTTGGCTCTCATTAAAGTTTATTCCTATCCATTTGAGTCTATTGTGCACAGGGCAATTTCTTTGTTTGATTTTATTATGTGAGATGGTATGAATGCTATATTGAAGAAAACAAGACATTATGGTAGCTATTGCTGATTTACTATCATCTTGTTTTGAAGTCCTCCCATACTTTTGTTCTTCTGTTTTGATTGGTTCTATCCTGTTGTGTTTTATTTGATTTTATTATGTGTAATGTTGTAGATAAAATTTTTGAGGAAAATGAGGTATTATAGCAGCCATTGTTCATTTCCTGTTATTTGGTTTTGAAGTCCTGTAATGCTTTCATTCTTTTGAATTTTTTTTACTATATTGTTATGTTTGATATTATTGTATGTGAAGGTATGATCAACTATTTCAAAGCAAAGAGATATTATGTTAGCTATTGTTGATGTCCTATTGTTTTGTTGTGAAGTGCTATGTTGCTTGCATTTTCCTGTTCTGATTTGCTTTTTCATTCTGTTTTCTTTTGTTCTCTTTAAAATAAAAAAATCTTCCTTCTAAAAGGCTGGGAGACTATAGTTGTATGTGTGTTAAAATTAGGTCTGAATTCCTACTCTTGAAGAGACCAGGCAAAGTGTAGGACCTAAGAGGCTCAGTTATTCAAAGGGCTTCTCTCCCCTTTACCCTCCATAGTTAAAGGGCTGGACATTGCCTACGCATCATGCCCTTGTTCTGTACACAAAGATAGTCTGCAGTTTCCTGGGCAGATAGTGGACATGTGTATAAAATATGAAATGTATTGAGCTATTCAGAATTTTACGCGTGGTTGGTTATGTATACATAGGTAATTTGAATAATTAAATACATGTTTTTCTGTGTATTAAACACACATATAAAATGTGTTACATATTAGGTGATTCTATACTTATATGTATGTATGTATAAGTATAAAGCAGGGAAGGTACTCAATCATGAATTCAGTTCTCAAAGAGGTCCTGTTGATTACTACTCTGGATATAGCATAAGTGCCCAGGACCAAAGAGCTATGGACCGTATATATTTCTCTACCTACTTGTTTCATATGGGTAGGCTACCTCTTGTGAAATCATGTATTTTAAAAAAATTTCTGGAGGAGTCAGTGTGAGTTACTTTTGTCTGATGAGGCCAAAAAATAATGGCAGTGTGTGTGTGTGTAAGAGTGTATGTGAAAGCGTGCATGTGAGCGAGCACATGTCATGGGCATGTGCTTGGTATGGTGGGTGGTAGTGACAGTCTGCACAACAGAATATCTATGTTGGCTGGGGATTTAGTTCAGTGGCATAAGTGCCTGCCTGTCAAGCGTGAGGTCATGAGTTAGCTTCCCAGTACCAAAAATCAAACAAGCAAACAGAGTATATATGTAGAGAATTATGCATGAGGATGTGATTAAACACCTTATCCAGGATGACAGGCAATCATTGGTGTGATTATTAAAATGGTTTTTATGGTAGGGGGAAATTCCCAGCATTTTGCAGTCGCAGTAGAGTGATGACTGGGTCCAATGGGAGGGAATGCATTTCGGTCTGTACAACTCAGGGCAGCCCTGGCTCTGGAGAACTGGGGTGTGATGCCTTTACACAGCATGAAAAGATTGGTGCTTCTCCTATCTCTTTCACAAGCTTGTGCCATCTGGTCTCTCTACTGCAGTATTCCTCTTTTTAAGGGCCCTCATCCCCACTGTTTCTGCTGGAATCCTCTTTCTCACATTCACAGTGGGCCCAGATTCATTTATCTTTTTGAATCTAATTCCAATGACCTCCCTCTAGGAAACTTGATTTCAAGGATCCCTCACCCTATCACAGACTCTTATGGAGGCAGGAAGCACAGCTGTCTTCTTGCCTAGTGCTGAAGGGAGGAAACCACAGTTGGAGCAGAGAGAGGTTCCTAAGTGTTTTGGCCTCAAGAGGTGATTTGGAGAGGAAGAAAGGTGCTTTCTCCTTGTCACACTCCTTGGCCTGCATATTTTGCCATTTCCATAAGTTCAAGGAGATTTGCAGTATGAGGCATGAAGCCTCCCTTTTATCCTCTTTGCAGAAAACTTCCTCAACAGGCAGAGCAGGTACGGTCTCTACTTGCCTTTGACTTACCCTGCCTGCACTCTTGACAATCCCTAAAGTAAGAGGCCCCCATGTGGATCTTGTGGATCATTGCTATTTCTGCTGATCAGCCTCTCTCACCTTCAGTGAACTCTGAAAATATGACACCTCGCAGGCCTGGTCAGGTATTGGTGTGGTGCCTGTGCCTGTCACTCTACCAGCTGGCTATCCAAGTCATCCACTGTCTTGTCTTCATGGGCTCAGTGAAGAAATTCCAGATCTCTCTTTTCTCCAGCTCCCCTGTAACTTTTCCAAAGCTTTGTATAAGATTTCTTTTCTGTCTCCTTTGCCAATTAGTCTTTCTTCCTTCTGCTTCCTCAGCATGAACCCTGCCACAGAGGGTCTAACAAGAAAGGGCTCCTTGTATTAATAAAGAAGACATGATTTTGTCCTCTGTTGTGGTTTGGACATGGAGTACTTCTGAGTTTAATCAGTGCATCACTTGAGAACATGGACTCTGGAGCCATCCAATTGAAAATTCATACATACTTCAGCTCTGAAATGTAGGTATTCTTGAGTAGAAACCTCCATTTCTAAATAACACAAATGAGATGAAATTATACCACTACAGCAGGGATATCTGGATGAAATATGGAAATGCAGCAAA